ATTGTCAAATTGTCCCATTGCTGTAGTCGCTATCACCGTTTGATTTTTTTGCTCAGTGGGGCTATTCTAATGGCGACAATGCATTTTTTGAAAGCAGTTTCTTGTTTTGACAAAGGTTTGCAGCCGATTAAAAATCTGCTTCCAACAAGTTGCCTGGTCATCGATGCCCGACTCATGTTGTCCAGCAGAATAGGGGGGACAACATTTCAGGTATGTAAAGAAAAGTACTGTCAATGCTTTTCTTCTTTATTTTCCATTTCGTCATACATTAGCAATCAATCAGCAATACAGTGTACACCAGTGGTAAATCTAATAGACAGCGATGCCCTTTCCCAGAATTAGATTGGCGCGAGACGAGGAGGTGAGTGACATCCTGAAATGTCATCGAGCATGATGAATGTTTCCCTAACTATGTAACTCTTGATAAGGAGGAACAGACGATCAATTTGAGGAGGAAAGGGGGATGGGGTGGGTGTCCCAGCTCAGCTCTCAAATTTGTTGGTAAGTCTTCTTAGCAGTATATGATCTCGCTTTATGGGCTTTATGAAATTCGTCTCGGCCGCTTCTCTTCCGTGAATATTTGACCTTGAGCAGTGTAAGTGACAGAGGTAATTCTGAAAATTGTAGTGCATCATTTTCTTCAAAACACAATAGCAGCAGAGCAGGGTAGTAATTGCCGACTATACAGAGTGGGCACTTTAGCCGAGTCATATCAGTAAAGTTTACATAGTCCAGACAGAGGACGTGGATACGAGTACCAGGGCGGAAGATACCCAAGATGTTCCTCGATAAGGAGCAGGCTCTCGCCCATCACCTTCATGTACACCAAAATATAATATGAAGCCATCTCACAGCCTGACTGGAGAAATCTTTTGGAATTCACGTCACCTCCAAACAGCTGCGAAACTTCTTGTATGGAGTCACCCATGGACAGCTACCTGGGCGCCAGCACTTGATTTGGAGCTCGAGGATATTATTTCCACCGCAGTTGCCAAGGCGCGGGCTGACGGTATATATCGGAAGTTCCTGGCGTGGGAAGCCGATATTTTGTTCGTGGACCCCGGACTGAAGCTGAACCCTGACTGTTGCATCGAACAGCTCGAGGAGAAATATCCTGCCTTCATGTCGTCGCCTGTACCATCTTGGAAACTTCGTACTGCTACAGGATTGGGTGCCAGCACATGGAATCGAAGGGCGTTGGAAAAACTCTCGTCCTACTTGGAATCGAAGGGCGTTGAGAAAGACGAAATCTCCAAGAGTGTTACCTGACCTGAACGCTCTCTGTTACCGGGTCCGGGAGGAGCTCAACAGGGTGGTCTACAGTGGCGGAGAAGTCAACGACCTCGCAGAACCCAAGCACCGAATCACGGTAGCTGGCAGAATCTCTCGATAGCGTTTGTCCGGAGGGCCGTGGCGGACTTTCGTGTGCAATGTGTTAGTGGATTTGATGGTGAGAATGTCCAAACAGAATTTAATTAGGTGTAGCTTATATCGCCTCAAAGTCGAGGCAAAGTGTCTTTTCTTGCCCCCACCCCCGTGTTCATATGCATTCTGCATGGGCACAGAGAATGTCCTACAAAACTGGAATATTTTAATGACCCAATGTTTATAGGGCGTAGCTCGGCTGCTCTAGCAGTATGTAAAGCTCTCGTCAGCGGTTGCCTCAATCCCCGAGTTCGGTTCCTTTCGAGTGGTGCTCGTTGTGCTGTGCTGGTCTGAGAAGGCCACTTTACGACATTACAATGCAACGAAAGCCACATAAATAGCTGAATGAGCTGCACAGATATGTCACCAAAGCTCTCACGTGCCAGGCGGTAAACTCAATCAGTTCTCTCGGCCAGCGCGAGGAGGCAGATATCACATCAGTTGGTTTTGCGGAAGAAAGCCAGTCACGTGTCTTTCTGATGCTTCAGAAAAAGTTGTTGCCCATGAGGTCCTTTCTTATACATGACAAAGTGCATATTTTCCTTGCGGCGCTCCCGCGATCGGAAACTATCCATCGAATGGCTCAGTACTGCATCAGAAAATAATCTTAAGCTCTGCTAGTCAACAGAGTATGCTGACGTCAGTCTAAAAGAAAAAAATACTCAGTGTAATCGTGCTCGGCTTCCCATGAGGAATGTTTCTGTGGTTGAGCTGAAGTCAGCAAGAAAGCGTGTATGATGCCTGCTCCACCTCGTTCATCTTTGGCACTCCATGGACCACATAGAGTCCAATATGACTTCTATTTTCACCTTTTCAAGCTAGTTTTATGACTCCTCAAAAAAACTGTTTAAATGGTATGTGGGCGAGACTCTGCACATCCTGCGAGGGCGGGGAACATCGCTCACTCGTTGATGAGATCCTCCCATACATCATTGTTCTTCACTTTTCCTAGCAGTGCGTTTGTTTGCACCTCCGCCCCACTTCTTGAGATATCCCTCGTGCTTTGTTTTCATAGGCTGCCGAGGCTTCATTCACCAACCTCTTCAACCACCCGCTCAGGAGTTGAGCTTTGCTCAGCTTTTCCGTCTATCCACAACTTAGTGTACTTTGGCCGCTCCGGTAGTTTTACCGAGTTTCAGCTTTTCCTCTCTCAAGTCAAATCAGATGTGCCATACTCAGCTCACCTGTGATCTAAACGATGACGTCGGCATCCCATAGATACTTGAGCGCTTTTGCTCGCGCACCGTTACCTATCAATGTTATTTGCTACTGTTATTCGAAGTCGTAACAACTCAATTCCGGGACCAGTTACCGTCCAAACTACCGGGATGCGCCACGCCTTCGCTTAGTATTCAAAATCGCTGACGATTGAAATTCATAATTCATTAGCTCTTGATCCCCATCGTGTCTACAGTGTCTAGGATTCTCAATCGAACTACTCGTTGTTCTTCACGCTTTCTGTGGTGAGAGGCACTCTAAGCTGATTGCAACGATCACGGTAAGGGTACAATGCAATACGTTGTACCTGACACTACTAACAAGTAGCAGCAAAAAGCTCTACTTATTCAAAAGCCGAAAAGGCGGAAAAAAGAGCCTGTTCTAGACTCGAATCATGGTGTTGGTGGATAGACTGTGAGTTTTCAATTCAGCTCTTCGAATAGTACCTGAAATCCACCGTCAATGCATCAGACGTCTGCATTATTGCTTACTTCCTAAAGGCCTTACCCTGCAGAATGAAGACCAGTTTCTAAGTATCTTCATACCTGAATTCTGGCTGGGCACATGGCCCACTGAACTTTCGCGTGGGTGTTACGCAGCAGCGATGTTGAGTGTAAGGTCTTCATTTAGAAGAGGCTTATGCTCAAGATCTTCTGCGTTGCAGTTGATTTCAATGAGCTGATCCGATGGTGAATGTGCCGTGGTTGTGATACGTACATATCAAAGGGTCGCTGATGAAATAAGTTACGGTGTAGCAAATGCGGCGTTGTTTGACTCGGGGTGGGCGGAAGCATGCTGAGGGGCTGTTTATCGACGGGGGGGGGGCATTCTGCTTTTCATAGATTTGCCAACCCATCTAGGTACCCTTTTTTCGAGTTGACACGTTTTGTGATGGTCTTGCTCTAGCTTCACAAGCGTTCACAAGCGTTCACAAGTTTTACCAGAGTGAGATTTGTAAATGGAACCAGGAGCGCAGTTATAATACAAAATGCCTCCCCCGTCGATAAACTTCGCCGCGTCTTGAACTTTAGCTAGTTGCGTTGCTTTTTTCAGATATTAATTACACGTCTTACCTTAGTGAGACCTGTAGATTCTTGTGAAGTGTGAGTGATCGATCGGAACCAGCAATGTGCCCCTACCAAGCCGAACTGGGCTGACAGATGTTGTGGTTAGGAATGAAAAGCTTGAGCTGCAGAGTCAAAGTTCTAACAAATATACAGTTTATAGACTTCTGGTGGATGAGCAATAGAGAACTTTCTCCAGGCAAGCACTCTGAGTCTGGGAAAGTCAGGTGGTACTATTTGGAATCAGAAAGCTCTGAACAGTCTTCTTGCCAAAAAAATCATTCAAAGGTCATCTGAAACCAAAAATCATTCTTTTTGGTGGCAGCTATGATCTCGTACCCAAATCAGCGGATCGCGAATTCCAAGCCCATTATGTTGTTCATATGAAGGCTTGGGATTCCGCGTTCTGTGGTACTTCTCACACCTCCGTTTCAAATTGCTAGAGCCGAACAGATGTGGTTGGGCGAGCATTGTTTACAGCTAGGGGACAGATCAGGGCGGATACCTCGTGCTGTTGCCTTTACAACAATCGACGACTGGGATCTGGTGCACGAATGACCCTCGAGCCAACGAGGCTGGCAGAGGAACAAGCGCAGCGGCCCCTCATTCGCTAGTTTTGATGCAAACCAGCAAAAGTTTTCAAGGAATGCCTCTGCTGCCCTCCCCCGCGAGTATCTTTTCACATCTCTTTATTCCGTCACTATTACTGCTCATTTCGAATTTCTCTCGTGTTTCCTGCTGTCAAGGCATGCTTTTTTACTTTACTATTCTAGAAATGTCCACAATCGAAGTCACTCATGAAGCAGAACTCTGGGACTGGCCCCTGCAATCGCATGAAGGAGTCGTTAAGGTAAAAAAAATTCATCACTATTTGATCTTAGAAGAATGTTCAAACTCCTTGAAATGATTGCTCAAGAAGAATTTTATTAAATGCTGTTCAGATCGTGAACACCAACGACAAGTTCGAGGTTGGACTTGACGCTCAGTTCTTCTCGCCAAAGGATATCGAAGTGAAAGTTTGCGGACAAGATTTGCTGATTCACTGTAGACACGAGGTATGCAATCAAATCTTCATACCTGAAATACCTGCCTCTTTGACAA